ATAAAAGGTATCCCACCTCCTCTCATGAGATTAAATAAGAATGAGATTAGATTTAATTTTCGTTTTTAACCCTTTCTCTCTCCTTTTTTTGTCTTTAGTAGAAGCTCACATTTATTATTTAATTAACAACAATATCATAGTTACAATATCACGTAAAATTATAAATTTATAATTATAATATAACATCAAACATTTATGACATAGCATTAAATGAATTGATATTTATAATATTACGAGTTGACTCTTGAATGAAAAAACCAATTATATAACAACACATCATATTATAAATTCATAATATTACATGATATTACAACTATAGCATTTTTAATTTAATTAATTATCTTATGAGGTTAAGTGCATGTTGATAAAACCACGTCCACGGATGTGAGAATCAATGTTTTAAAAAAAAAAAATTTCTATTTTCTTTGTTTGGGTTTTGTTGTTTGATGATGATGAGAAATTGATTGATGAAAATGAAGAAGGCAAGGTAGCCGTTGGGTTCTTGCAGGTGGATGAAGAGGAAGAAGACAAGGTAGCCGTTGGGTTCCTGTAGGTGTTGGGTTCGATTTTGAACCCAGCAAGTGATTGAATCCAGCATCGAACCTAGCAGCCACTGGGTTCCTGCAAGTGCTGGGTTCGATTTCAAACCCAGCAGGCACTGAGTTCCGTTTCGAACCCAACAACTGTTGGGTCGATGGATTTGTTGAGTTCAATTTGTTTATTGATCTATTGTCTGTTGGGTTCTGTTTCAAACTCAGCAGCCGTTGGGTCGATGGATTTGTTGAGTTTGATCTATTTATGGATTTGTTGTCTGTTGTGTTATCCTCAGATTCTTGCAGGTGCTAGGTTCGATTTTGAACCCAACATGTGATCAAACCCAGCAAGCATTGGGTTCTATTTCCAACCCAACTGCAGTGGGATTGAAGGATCTATTGAGTTCGATCTATTGATTTATTGTGTTATCCTCGGATTTAATATTAAGAGGTGTTAGGGTTTGCAAAAGGTGAAAGGAAAGGGAGAGGAAGAAGAAAGGGAAAAAAGAAAAACAAAGAAAGAAAAAAAAAAGGAAAAAGAAAATTTTTTAAGGTCTTTTCTTGCTATCTCATTTTTTGGTCACGTTGTACATCCTAGGTGTCAAAATGCTTTTACATGTCATCTTTTTTCCCGTCAAGTAACAAGACACATAGGCAGATATTTAATAGAATGACCAAATCAAGGTTAAAATGGTAAATAGTAAGGACTAAATTAGGGATTTTTTTAGTTTAATGACCAAATCAAGGGTCTGTACAATAGTTCAAAGACCAAATGGGGTTTAAACCAAAAAAAATTGACTAATTTGGCCAAAAGAATAGAACATAAATGAAAGTCCTAAGTGATGGGGCCCTTCCAATTTTGAACTTAAGCAATAATGTGTTTCATTTCATCTCGAAATCAACAATTACTTATGATAAAGTAAGTTCTAAATGATTTCATCTTTGCAATCAAAATAATGTCATTTCCTGACTAGAGTTAAAATCACACGGCATCGAGGAAGAACGTACAGTATAAGAATGTCATTTCTTCATTGGAAGATCTCGCATAATGTGACGAAGATAAATTGTGCATACAGATTTTAATATAAAATTTATATATAACTTAAAATCAAATAATAATAAATGAAATATTTTTTTTATATATTTAACTCGTATTTTCTTTTGTTATATATATATTTGATATAGAATTTTTTCACTCAATAACAATAATCAGCTTTACAATTTATATTTTATTTATTTCTTTCTTTGTGAACGAAGAGGAATTTGGGGATGAGAGGAAATACAAAGAAATTTCTTTAATTAAAGAAAAAAAATTATATTAATTTTAGTCACCTCTATAGAGAACTGTTTAACGTTAATGTCCTTCCTGAAGACGAAACCACTTTAATTAGGAACTGCTTGGGTCCTTTACTGTTAGGGCCACAGATGACTAATTTGCCAGTAGTTGGAAGTTTTGAGATTCAAACTTAAGTGCAAACATAGAAAAGCTTTAAGATTTCTTGGACAAGGCATGTGATGATAGACGTATAAAATACCGAAGAAATTAAGCTATTAATTAAACACAAAATTTCTTTTTCTAGTCCTAGTAGAAACACTTTGGTTATTGTCTTCTATTATTATATTAGAGAATGATTAGTATACCATTAAATTTAATATAATTTATAATATATTTATTAAAACACTATTATTTTTAAATTTAAATTAAAAATAAAAAAAACTTAATAAATATAAATTTTAATGTCTAAATCAATAGATATTATAGGGCATGTTAAATCCACCAATCATTTTCCTATTACATTATCTTCGATATGTTTGTCTTGAATGTGCGTAGCAGAAACTAGAAAGTCCAAGTGATGGGATCCTTCCAATTTTTAACTAAAGCAATAATGTGTTAACGTTCCAATGCCCTCAAAGTGACCAGTAATTATTTGTGATCTTATACACAAATTAATTCTTATTAATTTGCATTAAAAAAATAATGTCATTTCTGGACCATATGCAGTGGAAGATCTCGCCTAATGTTACAAAGATTTTCTTCACAATGAACGTTTACGCATTTTCAAACAAGTTCATGCATGTCACAATGACCTGCTTTACAATCTGTATATTTTAATGTTTGTCGTGAACAAAGAGGAATACAAGGATTAAAGAAAATACATTAGCAACCTCATAAAAATTAAGGGTACTTTTGGAGTGCCAAATAAACAATATGATAGATAAAAAATTCGTTCCATCCCAGCATAATTCATGTTTGGTGAATTTAAGAGATGTGATAAAAGTTCCTCGAATAAAAGGTATCCCACCTCCTCTCATGAGATTAAATAAGAATGAAATTAGATTTAATTTTCCTTTTTAACCCTTTCTCTCTCCTTTGTTTGTCTTTAGTAGAAGCTCACATTTATTATTTAATTAACAATAATATCATAGTTACAATATCATGTAAAATTATAAATTTATAATTATAATATAACATCAAACAGTTATGACATATCATTAAATGAATTGATATTTATAATATTACAAGTTGACTCTTAAATGAAAAAACCAATTATATAACAACACATTATATTATAAATTCATAATATTACATGATATTATAACTATAACATTTTTAATTTAATTAATTATCTTATGAGGTTAAGTGCATGTTGATAAAACCACATCCATGGATGTGAGAATCAATGTTTTAA